ATTGGTTCCACTGCTTGTTATTCAGTAAAAATTATGTACCACGTAAACATACCCTCAATTAGAACGCTATTGTGTCTCACTTGTACTTCATTTAGAAATATTTTCACTGCATTTTAAACCTGAGCAGATGGCAACCCTGATTGTATCCCATGTCTTCGACTGCGACACAGCCCTAAGAAAGATTTGCCATGGGATGTGAAGAAACTCTATTTCTAACGATTGCGCGATAAGTAGAATTCTGAATGTTTTGTGAAAAACTATTATCTCTCTAGCTATGTAACTGAATGGATTGTCCATCGTATGTCAAAACGATGTGATTCAGGAGAAAGAAAGAAAGTTAGGCATAGTTCCATCAGCGCATACATCGCTTCCGTAAAAGTCGACACACGAAGGTATCGTAAAACGTAGCATAAGCATCAGTAAATAGATTTGAAATGAATATTTCATGTTCGCAGTGTCATTTAACCCTTAAAAGCCGAAGAGGGTTTTTGTGAAATGGAGAAAGAATTAATCACATAAATAGAGAGTTTAGACCCCCAATATGCACAAACCGTGGTTGGAAGTGCTGGGTGGGGCTAAAAAATTTTTCCACTCAGATGACCTGGGTGAAGTATGATCGTTATAAATTTTTGCTTGGGTGATCCTGTTATATGGTTCAGGATCACTGTAAGTTCACGCTGATGAAATTTTAAGATATCTCTAATTATCTATAGAGCGAAAATTTGCGAATAACCCTGAGGATTATGCCCAAAAGTTCCCATAAAATGGCACTTTTTTATACCTTCAAAACACCTTAGTAGAAGAGTTTAAAACGCACAAAGTTGTTTTATATCATAGTTTAGAATTATTTCTAATGATATTACTCGAAATCCACGTTGCATATATCATCTGACAGAAATATCCAAGTAACCAACTATGGTTGAAAAGTCACACGCTCTAAAAGCTACACTTTCGTGTCTGACCACTATTTTAACACGATTTTTTTCTTATGATACTATCACTCTGGCTGTTCTCATTCGACAAAATAGTAGCTCTTGTGGATACGACTTAATTCCTTCGTTCTATAGCCATTAATGCAATGTCCCTTGGAAGGGACGTTTCGGCTTTTAAGGGTTAACGTCAGCAAGCCGTTTAATATTATCATTCGGCGCATGAAATTTTCAGCATTAGTCAATGAAATACAAAGTGATAAAAAGACTATTCAACTGCTGAGGTCAATAAACATGATTTTCTTTTGTTTTCAATCGTATAATAGAAGACAATGTAAGAATCGAAAGTTTAAAATAACCACACATGGTTCAACTAGCGAGACTTAGCTAAAAAGTATCCCTTTACGAAGCTATGGTTAATATCGTTTACCCGCAAAGCAGTCGCCGGCGAATCGACCATCGGTGAACCAATGACTGGTCATCATCCTTGCATCTCTACATTAGGGTCACGAAAAGGTTATATAAGCGAGAGAGAGAAATGCTTTGCAAAAAAGTCTCAAATAACCGTCGAATCGGCAATGAATACAATATTGAACTGTTGAACGAAAAAAATAAAAACTCACGCACATTCGTTCATTGTTCTGTTCACTTCATATTACACATACACATTTATATCCTTCGTTCACACGTGCACCACAAGGTAACGTTCTGCATGACTACAATGAATAATAATGATCAATCAAACCATTGCCATCATCTCTTCTGGCTACTTTTTTTCGTAGCGAATGCTACCTGCATTAATGGTCTTGTGAACAATGAAAGTACAAATTCAACATCAGTATTCTTTCGATGGTCTGGAGGATTTGGTCGAAATTTTCAAGAAACTCGTTGTGCTACCGATCAATCATCAGAAGATCCTTCTAATAATCTTCCTGATGTCTA